ACGTTGCACGAAATTTATAAACAAAGTCCGTAAGAACGAATGGGGAGCTATTTTTATGTCTCTGTACATCTACTAGTCTTGGTCCGCTTAATTTCGTTAAACATTAAGTTTTTAAAATTTATTATATTTTGATTGATCGTGGTTCATCTCTAAGGAGGACATTTTGTCTTTTTAACACTTTAAAAATGGCTGGCGACTGGTGATTATTTGTTTGTTTGTTTAGAGTTCAATACGTGGAAGTATATCTCAGTACGGTAGGCCTAAAGTTGGAAATATATCTCAGTACGGTAGGCCTAAAGTTGGAAATATATCTCAGTACGTTAGGCCTAAAGTTGGAAATATATCTCAGTGCGGTAGGCCTAAAGTTGGAAATATATATCAGTACGTTAGGCCTAAAGTTGGAAATATATCTCAGTGCGGTAGGCCTAAAGTTGGATATATATTTCAGTGCGGTAGGCCTAAAGTTGGAAATATATTTCAGTGCGGTAGGCCTAAAGTTGGAAATATATCTCAGTACGGTAGGCCTAAAGTTGGAAATATATCTCAGTACGGTAGGCATAAAGTTGGAAGTATAACCTACTACGGTAGGCATAAAGTTGGAAGTATATCTCAGTACAAAAGGCCTAAAGTTGGAAGTATATCTCAGTACGGCAGGCCTAAAGTTGGATGTGTCTCAGTGTGGAACCTTTAAAGCACAAGTTGCTGACACGATCTCTGTCTAACGATAATTAATCTATTTACACATCCTCATTACGTGTTTAGACCCACGTTCCCTTGGTTACACGTGCCTTAGTGAATGATATTGAAGTGTCAGTGTGTGTGTACGTGTAGGTGATCTGTAGGAAAAATAATGTATTACGTGACTGAAATACAGAAGTGTTTGAAAAACTATACGTGGCGTTTAGGGCCCACAAGTGTCTCAGCAGAAAACAACAGCTCCCACGTTCGTAGATGTAACAAGCGTTGTGTTTCAAGTCAATAATTATTTTACAAAAATATTTTAAGAAGTTCCTGTTTTATACACCTTTGGATTTTGTAAATGAAATTAATCACGAATCAGGTAAAGTTGTGGCAATCGGATATCAATGTTCTCATTATTATTATGCAACCTATACGGTCGTATAAGTCTAATTGAGTTATTAATTTTATTATCATTAAATACTAATTACCATTGTGTTTATAACCTACTTTTCGTCTGTCAGTCGGCTGCTGCTTTTTCCAGGGACGTCCAATGAATGACTGTACAATCCGAGATTCGATCCTTCATCTTACTGTTAGACAGAAAGAGAAGACCCGGGATCGAATCCTGACTGATATAATCCTTTTCAGGACTTCACTGAAAACAGCAGCAGACTGACAGACAGACAAAATTTAGGATGTAAACCAAATAGAATTAGAGGTACAAAAACACGTAATGATAAAAACACAAGAAATAATAAAATCTGTAATAAACAACAGAAATAAACTGAATACAAAAAAAAATTGAAGCTAGAATTCTAAATATTGAGAAACGTCTTATAAATAGTAATTAGAAGTAAATAATAAACGTAATAAGTAATTACGTAATAAGTAATGCTGCTTCACTTGCCCAGTAAGTTTAGAAACTACTCACCAGAGGGAAGGCAGCCTACTATACTTACAACTGATAGACAGTCACTCTTATAACACACCCTCGGCTTTAAAATGCGGGGAATATTTTGTGGTATCGCACGGTTCGCCAGATCCGAAATACAGAGCACACGGCCAATCTGTGCCCCCGGGAATTTGTTTAAATATCACATTTTACGATATAATTTAGATTTTTTTTAGTCGTAGGATTCCTTAGACGTTGTAAAAAACATT